TGGCCTAAATCCTTTGTTAAAATCTTGCATGCTAGTAAAACGATCATATTTTGTTTTGAGATTTTTGTTTCTCTTTTAGTTTTATGGTACGTTATTTTCTGTGGTTTCTCCATTCTGCACAGTAGTCTTACACTGTTCTGAAACATGAAGTTAGAGACAGAACATTCACTTTGTTAAAACAGATACAACTGATTAAATAAAATGATATAGCATCAAAATATCAAAAATTTAGAAATAATTTTAGAAACTTTTTCTTTCATTTGCTGTAATAGAGGAAACTTTTTATTTGTAGAATAATGCCAAATACAAGGCTACATTGGTCATTCCTCCCGTTTTTAGTTTTTAAATAAGGTCTCATTTTGTATTAAAAAATTAGCACTATCCTTTATGGAACAAGAGCATATTATTTGGGTTAGCTAAATAACATTTACTTCAAAGCAAGAAAACTTTCTTATAAAATTTGTTACATATTTTCAATTTGCACATTAATACTTATCTTTAATCAAAATTATTATGGTGTAAAGTGACAAACATTCGTGCCTTTTTTTTTTTTTTTTGAGATGGAGTTTCACTCTTGTTACCCAGGCTGGAGTGCAATGGCACAATCTCGGCTCACCGCAACCTCCGCCTCCTGGGTTCAGGCAATTCTCCTGCCTCAGCCTCCTGAGTAGCTGGGACTACAGGCACGTGCCACCATGCCCAGCTAATTTTTTGTATTTTAATAGAGACGGGGTTTCACCTTGTTGACCAGGATGGTCTCAATCTCTTGACCTCGTGATCCACCTACTTCGGCCTCCCAAAGTGCTGGGATTACAGGAGTGAGCCACCGCGCCCAGCTTTTTCTTTTTCTTTTTCTTTTTTCTTTTGAGATGAAGTCGCACTCTGTCGCCCAGGCTGGAATGCAGTGGGGAGATTTTGGCTCACCAGAACCTCTGCCTCCCACGTTCAAGCGATTCTTCTGCCTCAGCCTCCCGAGCAGTTATGATTACAGGAACGTGCCACTACGCTCAGCTAATTTTTTTTGGCATTTCTAGTAGAGACAGTGTTTCACCATGTTGGCCAGGATGGTCTTGATCTCTTGACCTTGTGTTCCACCTGCCTTGGCCTCCCAAAGTGCTGGGATTACAGGCGTGAGCCACCGTGACCGGCCTACTCTTTCCTTTTGCCATTTTCCATCCCCCAACCCTCCAACCTATACAGCCTTGTAAATCTTCCTAAGCATAGTTTGAAAGAAAGTAAATGAAATCAGCACAATTTCTGTGTAGGATAATTTGGTATTATCAAAATTAAAAATCCTTTTGATCTAAAGATCCCAGGCTAAGGATTTATCATATAGGTATAATTTCCTCATTATATGGTGTTTTCATTTTTAATTATTTTCATTTTTTTGAGACAGGGTCTTGCTCTGTTACTGAGACTGGAGTGCAGTGGTGGGATTAGCGCTCATTGCAGCCTTCACCTCCTGGGTACAAACGATCCTCCCACCTCAGTCTCCCTAGCAACTAGGACCACAACCCTGTGCCACCACAGACAGCTAATTTTTTATTTTTTGTAGAGACAGGGTCTTACAATGTTGCCCCGTCTTGTATGAGGTTATTCATTGCATCTGAGCATGTAATAGTAATGGCTTGGCAACAAGCTGAATATCCACCTGTAGGGGATTGGTTGGTTAAACAAGTTAGGATATTTGTATACAGTGGAATATTATTCTGCCTCTAGGAAGAAAAAGGTATTCTTTTTAAAATTTTATTTGTTTATTTTTGATACGAAGTCTCCCCCTGTTGCCAATGACGTGCAATGATGTTATCTTGGCTCACTGCAACCTCTACCTTCTGGGTTCAAGTGATTCTCCTGCCTCAGCCTCTCAAGTAGCTGGGATTACCGGCACACGACACCACCCCTGGCTAATTTTGTGTATCTTTAGTAGAGATGGGGTTTCACCATATTGGCCAGGTTGGTCTTGAACTCCTGACTTTGTGATCTGTCTGCCTTAGCCTCCCAAAGTGCTGGGATTTACAGGTGTGAGCCACCATGCCTGGCAAAGGTAGTTCTTTATATACTGATTTGGTAAGATTTCCAAGACATTTTTCTCTTTTTCCTTTGTTTCTTCTTCTTTTTTTTTTTTTAAACAAGGTCTCACTTTGTCACCAGAGTGGATGGCACACTCTCAGCTCACTGCAACATCAACCTACTGGGCTCATGTGATCTTCCCACTTCAGCCCCCAGAGTAGCTGGGACTACAGGCACCCACCACTACCCTAGACTAATTTTTGTATTTTTCGTAGAGACGGGATTTTGTCATATTGCTGGGGTTGGTCTCAAACTCCTGGCCTCAAGCAATCAGCCTGCCTCAGCCTGCCAACGTGGGAATATAGGCCTGAGCCACTGTGCCCAGTCTATCTAAGATATTTGAAGGGAGAAAAGGAAGGACTGAACAGTGTATATAGTGTATTATCTTTTGTGTAAAAAGAAGTATCCCTGTATTTTAACGTATTGTTTATAAATATGTAGGGAAGGATACATTATAAAACACTAAGTGATTGCCTTCCAGTACTGGAGTAGCTAACGGATAGAGATGGGAGAATCAATCATTTTTCACTCTATTCTGTCATGTTTTGAGTTTTGCATTAAGACATTTCTTAATTTATATAGATCTATAGAGAAAATGTAGGTAAAGAGTGAAGCTTAAGAAATAGCAGGTATCGGGCCGGGTGCGGTGGCTCACGCCTGTCATCCCAGCACTTTGGGAGGCCGAGGCGGGTGGATCACGAGGTCAAGAGATCGAGACCATCTTGGACAAGGTGAAACCCCGTCTCTACTAAAAATATAAAAAATTAGCTGGGCATAGTGGCGCGTGCCTGTAGTCCCAGCTACTCAGGAGGCTGAGGCATGAGAATTGCCTGAACCCAGGAGGTGGAGGTTGCGGTGAGCCGAGATCGTGCCATTGCACTACAGCCTGGGTAACAAGAGCGAAACTCCGTCTTAAAAAAAAAAAAAAAAGAAAGAAAAAGAAAAAAGAAATAGTAGGTAGTCATTTCGGCGTGGTGGCACATGCCTCTAGTCCGGGCTACTCTGGAAGCTGAGGCAGGAGAATTGCTTGAACCCGGGAAGCGGAGGCTGCAGTGATCGAGATCGCGCCACTACATTCCAGCCTGGCGACAGAGCGAAACTCTGTCTAAAAAAAAAAAAGAAAAGAAAAAGAAACAACAACAACAGAAATAGTACGTAGTCAGGATTTTTTTTTTTTTTTTGACGGAGTCTCACTCTGTAGCTAAGTAGCTACAGAGTGTACCAAACAAGCTGCTGGGATTACAGTCACGCACCACCACGCTCGGCTACTTTTTGTGTTTTCAGTAAAGAGTGGGTTTCACTAAGTTGGTCAGGCTGGTCTCGAACTCCTGACCTCCTGATCCATCCGCCTCGGCCTCCCACAGTGCTGGAAGTACAGGTGTGAGCCATCGTGCTGGCCGGTAGTTAGGAGTTTTAGAAATGAAAAAGGGCTGGGCGTGGCTCATGCCTGTAATCCCAGCACTTTGGGAGCCCAGGAGTTTCGGACCAGACTAGGCAACATAGAGAGGCTGTTTCTACCCACCACCAAAAAAAAAAAAAAATCCACAAAAATGAAACAAAACAAAATAAAACCACCTCAAAAAACAAAATTAAAAAATGTTTTATACTTCTGTTGCTACCACCTTTGGGGTTCATAAAAGCATTTTTCATATGTACATTTCTTATACTTATTGATTACAAAGTTCCTCAAAACCTTTGAATCTCATTAAAAACAATCTTTAAAGTGATCACTTCAAAATCAGTTAGAAAGTAAACAACAAAAAAATTTCATAAGGCTTCTTCACTGAAAGTAAACAGGTAGACGTGAGATTTTATTAATATCGTTTAGGAAATGATGAACAAGAGGTTGATCCCTCGAAAGAGTATAGAACCCTACTAGGTTCTATGAGACCCTTTGAAAACCCTGTCAAATCTATATCATTTTACTCTGAGTTAAATTATGGCTTGCCCTGACTGGAAGGATGTTTAGAGGTGAAAGAAGTGTTGAGAACGATATCCTGAAGAAAAACAGTGGGCTGGGTGCGATGCCTCACACCTGTAATCCCAGCACTTTTGGGAGGCCGAGGTGGGTGCATTGCTTGAGGTCAGGAGCTCTAGACCTGCATAGCCAACATGGCACAACCCGTCTCTACTAAAAATACAAAAATTAGCTGGGCGTGGTGGCTGGCGCCTGTAATCCCAGGAGGTTGAGGAACGAGAACCTCCGTCAGGAGGTTGAGGAAGGAGAATCGCTTGAACCTCGGAGGCAGAGGTTGCAGTGAGCCGAGATCACGCCATTGCACTCCAGCCTGGGCGACAACAGCGAGATCAGTCTCAAAAATAAAATAAATGAATAAAATTTAAAAAAATAAAATAAATAAAAGAAAAGGAAAAGAAAAGCATTGGTGGTAGATGTTCAGGTGACGAAGAAAGAGGGCCGGTTTGGCTTGTTAAGTTTACTGGAAGTACCGAACAGCCTCCTGCGTCCTTTGCCTCTCTGCTGGACCTGTTGAGGATTCTAGGGTTCTACAACTGGAAGCAGGTCTAGGGGGCTCCGGGTTGGGACGGATCCCCACCCGGGGCGAGGGGCGCAAGGCCTGGGCCCGTCACATGAGCCCCAGAACCTGCAGATCCGGCTCGGCCCGGCCCTGCCCCGCCCTTCCGAACCTCACTAGCGGGCTAAGCGCAGGAGGGCGTGTGCGACCGGATGTGCAGGCCTGGTCCTGCCCTGGTAGCCCTGCCCGACGCGGCCGCAGTGCCCAGAGGCTCAGGCCTAGACCGCTCGGGCCGGTCCTCCGCCTGGCCCTGGTCATCGACCCCCACAGCCGGGCACGTCACCACCTCGGGCGTCGCCTCCCGGCCCAGCGGGCCCACAGATCCCCGTCCCCCACCCCCAGAGGGGAGGGGCGCAGAGGCGTCACGTGACGCCCCGAACTCGCCCGGTTCTGGTCACGTGGGTGGCACGGCCGCTGCGTCAGTCACAGTCCTGGCTGCGGGAGTCGAGCCGCCGTCGCCGCCGCCAGCGGACGGGGCGGGGATCCTGGTGTCAGGTCCTCGTCAACCCGCCCTCGTCGCCTCAGTCAGCCGTCCCAGCCGGGGCCCGACCGTCATGGAGCGGTGTGGGGCCTACGCCTGTTCCGTGTGAGGCGCGTCGCTCGCCGCCGCCGCCTTGGCTTTTCTAGGCCTCTGGAACCCCCGCCGCCTCCCGGAGCCCCTCGCCCTTGGCAGCCTGTCGCCGCCCCCTGGGCGATCTCGAATGCGCGTCTAGTGAAGGTGCAGGCCCGGCGCCTCCACTGCCGCGGTCAGGAGATGGTTCGGGCCTAGCGGAGCCGGGACTGGAGGTGAGAGGGCCGACGGACTGACTGAGGGCCGTGCCGGGCCGCGGGGGCTGTGGCCCAGGCCAGGTTGGGGGGGGGCAAGCTCCTCAGGGAGCCTCGGGGAGATCCCCCGGGCTGGGGCTGCTCGATCAGGCTTCACCCCTCCCCTGATCTTCGCGTCTCACCCCACCACCTTCCCGCAAAAATAAGAAAATAAAGCGAAGCCAATCCTAACAGTTCTCAGAAATCCATCTTTTCAGTGTTTCTCCTTTCATCTTTCTTAATCCATTCCTTTCCTCAGACATTTCATCGGCTGATTTGTTACTTTTTCATATCCTCCTCAGCTTCAGATTATTTCTAATTAAAGAGAAAATAGGCCCAGATTCTGGCTAACATTACCCAACTAGTTCTCGCTTTCCTTCTCGCGATCCTGCGCACCTCTCCCACCCCCCCACCCCCGCAAAAAAAAAAAAAAAAAGAAAAGAAAAATTTCCGCCTTCGACTTGTGAGGGGGGTTGACTAAAAATGGGAACGTGAGGTTTTAATACTCAGATAGTCCCCCCGACAACTTCTCAATCGGCCTGTTACCTAGTTATCCCGGTAGCTTGTGCGTGGATATTGATGTTTAGGCCTTTCCTCCAGCTGCCTGTGTTTGGGGTTAATCTCGTAATTGACGTCAGTGCTTTGTTCCTTCTACTTTGCTGTTCCTTCCACTCTTTGAGAATGGATCATGGAGTACAGGAGTTTGGGGAGTAACCTTATTGCCTTTTCGTATACAAACAACATTATTTACAGAAAGTGGAAGTACAAATCTGAAGTGTTTGTGTATGGAGTTCAAGGCGAAGAGTCCGATTTAGGGTTCTTGTAGTTTTGTCACTTGTAATTCAGAATTATGCGGTTTCCTCCCTGCTGGCCATATGGAAATTTCAAACTAAGGCTAGTCTCTTTTCCATTGACCAGTGTTTTTCTTGATGGAATCTAAGCTATAGGTGACTGTGAATAGACTGTAAATGTGACATAAAATGTGTGCTGTTTTTAGGGCTCGTGTCAATAGCCCAAAGCTTCATTTCTATATTGATTCCGCACTTTATAAAGTGCTTTTTAAAACTTAACTGACCTTTAACTTATCAAAATTGAAATATTTATGAGAACTTTCTTAATTTGGGGTTTGATAAAGAGTCTTTGTGGTCTGTGAGTCTGCCTAGAATCATCTTTGGTCATATGTGCATAAAGAAGTGTTGGCAAGTGGCCACTTGGTTTTCGACAAAGCTGGCTTCTTTAAATTTCTCGGGTTCCTTTTCCTTATTCATCACTGCATCTTTCAGCCCCTAAACATAAGAAAAATTCCCAATAAATTATTTTAAGTTATCTTTCAGAGTTAACTTACTAAAAACCTGGACCAGTCAAATTTTTCTTTTTTTAGTATCAGCAATTTCATTCAATTTGTGGTGGTTTGCACGCTGGCGATTTTGGTTTTTGTTAGCTCTGTATGAACAGCAGGCAAATTTTACTTTAAATAAAATTTTGCTTCAAGCGGGGGACAAGGTAGGGTGTCTGAAAAAAGAGCTTAGCTGTGTTAATTGGAACATGTTCACAATTTGGGAATGTAAGGTGAAACCGTAATTAAGAATTCTTAAAGATAGACTAATTTTGTTCTGAGTTACTTGCTACTTGTCAGATTCTCACATTCAGGTTTATATATTCTCTTCTGTGTACCCTTGAGTTATTGTACCTTTTTCTAACAATATATTCTGCAGCCGGGCCTGGTGGTTCATGTTTGTAATCCTAGCTTTGAGAGGCCAGGGTGGGCGGATCACCTGAGGTCAGTCTGGCCAACATGGTGAAACCCCATCTCTACTAAAAATACAAAAATTAGCCAGGCATGATGGTGCACACCTGTAGTCCCAGCTACTCCAGAGGCTGAGGCATGAGCATCAAATTGGCTAGGCATGGTGGCACATGCCTCTAGTACCAGCTACTCCAGAGGCTGAGGCATGAGAATTGCTTGAACTGGGAGGTAAGGGTTGCAATGAGCAGCGATCACACCATTGCACTCCAGCCTGGGTAATGCCTCAGAACAATCAAATGGAAGCCCACTATATTTTCTGCATTGTAATTTTCTTTTTCCCCCGTGTCTTGCAAATACTGAGGGGTGCATAATTTTCTTATAGAGCTGTTATAGGGTCTTTGAGCAAGTATCATATTTATCCCTCTCTTTATCTTTCTCAGTATTTTACTCAATTATTAGATTGAATTTGAATGTGAGAATATTTTGAACTTGAAATTGTTCTATCAAGTTATCTAAGATTTCACGAAAAGGTAATGTGAAGAAAGGTGTATGAGCGAAGGATCAGTACTTGAAAGGGAAAAACATAGCTTCAGAAGATGAGACAGAAGATGAAGCTTTCTAAAAGTTTTGCATTTTGCCTTTTTTGCGAAGGTAAGGTAAATGTCATAGTTTTATATGTAACTGAGAGGAACAAATAGGTATTTCTTCTTTCATATCCATCTACTGGTTTAGAATGGAGTTGAAAATCTGTGAGGACTTTTCTTTGTGATATTTTTAATAAAATCAAAGAGGTGTTCTTAAGTATTGAGGGCACACCTGGACAATGACCCAGAAGTACAACATGTACTATAAAAAAATTGATGACTTAGTTTTTTTTACTTCAGCTTTATTCTACAGATATCTCACTATAAAGACTTTTCTATATGATATAAAGGTTCCCAGCTGTCCTCATCCTTATATTTTACCCATTCCCTTATTCATTTCCTCTGATAAGTTGGAATAATTGTATTTGATTTCTGGGAGGGTGTTAGCTAGTCTCAGTTATTGTGAAATACGGTGTAACTAGTGACTAAGGACTGCATAAAGCTAACCTGACCTGTTACCTTGCTTTTTTCTTTGGTTTAAGAAAAGCACTCCTACTTGTTAACTTCCTGTATATAACCCTCTCGGTTATTTGAAGTGATACTCTAGTACATGGAAGAGGGCAATAATACCTGTTTCAGTTACTGAGTTTTGGCACATCATCTGCATTCCTATTTGTCTTGAGGTTCATTTTCACTGGCATCATATCATGAAAATTTTAATGATACTGGGCACAGAAAATATATCAAATTCAATTCCAGAGTATTCCAGAACATTTAAATAACAGAACTACCTATTCTATTTTTGAAGAAAAATATCTTATTTAACTACCTGCTTTATCAGCTATTCTTTATTAAAAAAATCTGTAACCTGAGGAATGTTCTGACAGAAGGCATTTTATGTAACTTTATCTCTCGTGGAGTACTTAATGAACTGTGTTGGTGGGTTTTAGGCAGGGAATCATGGCTTATTAGTGGGTACTATTTTAAACTAATTACTTCAACAATCGTTTCCTAGGTCAGGTAAAAGAACTTCATCTTTTTTTTCCCCAAGGTTGTTGGGTAGGAGAAATCAGGGACTGACATGAATAGATTGCATTGAAAAGCCAGTATGGTTTGATTATCCAGAGATTATAATGATCTGTTTGGGGACTGGGCTCCCTGGGGTTGCTTTGGGCCTAATAACTCTCCCAGGATTTTGTCAGTTTGGAGTTGCCTAGTGGGTTATGACTTTTCCTTTTCATGTCATCATTAGGGAAGGGACAGTTTTATGGAGAGGTGAGTACCAGCCAACACTCTACAGAGACACACCTTCTTACCTTTTTGCAGTTGCTAATCGGAATATTATTTCTCCTATCTTGTTTCTTACCTGTTAAAATTTCACCATTTTTAAAGGCCTAATTCTCATTCCATTGCCTTCTTAAAGTTTTCCTTGATTCCTCACCCCACTCCAGTTGTGATCTGCTTCCTTTCAATCTCTGCATTGCTTTGTAGCGCCCCCCACCCCCCGCCTTTTTTTTTTTTGTCATCCAGGCTGGAGTGCAGTGGTGTGATCTTGGCTCATTGCAACGTCCGCTTCCTAGGCTCAAGCGATTTTCGTGCCTTCGCCTCCCAAGTAGCTGGGACTACAGGTGTGCACCACCATGCCCTGCTTATTTTTTTTGTATTTTTTGTAGAAATGGAGTTTTGCCCTGTTGCCCAGGCTGGTGTACCTCTTTTAATTATTTGTTATGAAGCTACTATGGGACTATAGCCTGCTGAGTAGCATCATGAAAAATGTATTAGGAAAGGTACTAGTAAAAGAAGGACTGTAAGTGTTGCAAATCTCATTATATATTTCTAAAAGATAAGGATTAAAACAATAATCACCATATTATACACTAAAAAAATGTAATGCTAATTCCAGCTGGGCACCATGGCTCACACCTGTAATCCCAGCATTTTGGGAAACCAAGGCAGGCGGATCACAAGGTCAGGACTTTAAGACCAGCCTGGCCAATATGGTAAAACCCCATCTCTACCAAAAATACAAAAATTAGCTGGGCGTGGTGGTGGGTGCCTGTAGTTCCAGCTACTCTGGAGGCTGAGGTAGGAGAATTGCTTGAACCTGGGAGGTGGAGGTTGTAGCCTGGACGACAGAGCGAGAGTCTGCCTCAAAAAAAAAAAGGCCAGGCACGGTGGCTCACACCTATAATCCCAGCACTTTGGGAGGCTGAAGCAGGTGAATCACAAGGTCAGGAGTTTGAGACCAGCCTGACCAACATGGTGAAACCCCATCTCTACTAAAAATACAAAAATTAGCTGGGTGTGGTGGCATGCAACTGTAACCCCAGCTACTCAGGAGGCTGAAGCAGGAGAATCGCTTGAAGCCAGGAGGCAGAGGTTGCAGTGAGCCGAGATTGTACCACTGCACTCCAGCCTGGGCAACAGAGCAAGACTCTGTCTCAAAAAAAAAAATTAATGCTCATTTCTTAATATCATCAGTATCCAGTTAAGTGTTTACATTTCACTGATTATAGTTTTTATATTGTTTTTACAATTCGTAGGAAATATAATCCAAATATGGTCTGTATATGTTACATTGGGTTTAGCTGCATCTCAACCCTCTTTTTTTTTTTTTTTAATCTGTAAGTTTTTCTTATAGAAAACTGGCCAGGAAAGTCAGATTTCAATGTCCATAAATCAAGTTTTACTGGGGCCGGGCATGGTGGCTCACGCCTGTAATCCTAGCATTTTGGGAGGCCAATGTGGGTGGATCACCTGAGGTCAGGAGTTCAAGACCAGCCTGGCCATCATGGTGAAACCCCATCTTTAAAAAAAATAAAGTTTTATTGGAACACAGATAGTACACCTGTTTGTTTATGTATTGTCTGTGGCTGCTTTTGCTGTTGCAATGGCAGAATTTATTAATTGTGACTATATGGCCTGCCAAACCTGAAATATTTACTGTGAAAAACATTTCTTGAGTCCTGCCTTAGCAGATCAAATAGGCCTTAGTGCATACTTGGGTTTCAGGATTACCTTAGGGTTGAGCAGTTAGTTACAAGATCCCTATTTACTGTGGTGGCTATTAGGGTTTTTTGTTTGTAGAATATGTATATGTGTATAATATATACATTTATATATTATATTACATATATTGCATATAACATATATCATGTGCCTTGTATATACTATGATGTTTAGTATATATTATAGTATGTATTATATATATTACATATGCTGTGTGTGTGTGTGTGTGTGTGTGTGTGTGTGTGTGTGTTTGAGACGGAGTTTCGCAGTTGTTACCCAGACTGGAGTGCAATGGCACGATCTCGGCTCACCGCAACCTCTGCCTTCTGGGTTCAAGCAATTCTTCTGCCTCAGCCTCCCAGGTAGCTGGGACTACAGGCGTGCACCACCATGCCCAGCTAATTTTTGTATTTTTAGTAGAGACGGGATTTCACCTTGTTGACCAGGATGGTCTTGATCTCTTGACCTCGTGATCCACCTGCCTCGGCCTCCCAAAGTGCTGGGATTATAGGCGTGAGCCACCATGCCTGGACATATATATATATTTTTTGAAACAAGAGTCTTGCTCTGTCACCCAGACTGGAGTGCAATGGCACAGTCTCTGCTCACTGCAACCTCGAACTCCCAGGTTCAGATGATTCTCCTGCCTCAGCCTTCCAAATAGTTGGGAATACAGGTGTATGCCACCATACCCAGCTAATTTTTATATTTTTAGTAGAGATGGGGCTCCACTATGTTAGCCAGGATGGTCTTGATCTCTTGACCTAGCGATCCCCCCCACTTTGGCCTCCCAAAGTGCTGGGAAGGCATGAGCCACTGCGCCTGGCCCATATAGTATATATTATATGTAGTATATATATATTACATGTATGTATAATATATATGTAATATACTCTGCTGTATATTATATATACTATATACATAATACATATTGCATATGTGTGTTATATATTATATGTACAATATAATTTAGTATACTATTCAGGATCAGATTCTCATAGTGATATGGACAGGAGGCAGGGAAAGAATGGCTAGAAGAGGGTGGGGTCCCTGGTGAGAGCCCCTCAAGCCTGGACCTGTGGCCCTAAATAAGAACTTCACATCCCTGTTTTCCTGCCTGAGTTTTGCCTTTTCCATAACGACCCTGGCCTGCCAAACGCACCCCGCTCTGTACCCATAGAAACCCCATGCTCCACTAGCAGAGGAGCAGAGTGGTATGGCACAGGAGGAGAGAAGAGAAGAAGCATCTGCATGTCGAGAGGAGAAGAGACAGCTGGACACCAGAGACTATGGGTTGGAGAGGATTTCAGCCAGGGACAGCTGAGCTCCAGGGGAGGGTTATCTTCCCACTCCATTCCTTTTCCAGCTCCCCATCCTGCTGAGAGTCACTTCTCCCACCCAGTAAAATTTCTGCATTCGCCATCCTTCAAGTTCTTGTGACCTGATTCTTCCTGGATGCTGGACAAGAACCTGGGTACCAAGAGAGCAGGGTGTAAAAGGATATCATCCTGACCTTCTGCTGAGCTGGTTTAACTCTTAGCCATCTGTGGACAGCAAACAATAAAACAGCATTGTTTGTAACACACACCCTCTGGGGCTCCAGAGGTCGTGGGCAACCACCCCTAGATGCTGCCGTGGGGGCTGGTTTATTCCTCCTGGCACCCAAAGGCTCCTGTACCCACTCCCCCTCCTGCAAAGGGTAGGAGCATGGTGGCTGAGTAAACAAGCCACCTCTGTCACAAGTCACATGATGGGGTCAAGCGAACTCTCCTGTCTCAATAGGAGCTCAAAAACTGTGCATGTGAGGGATTAAGTTGCATACTCCTGAGAATCTAACTAATGCCTGATGATCTGAGGTGGAATGGTTTTATTTCAAAATCATCTCCCTGCAACCCTATCCATCCATGGAAAAATTTTATCTTCTGTAAAACTGGTCCCTGGTGCCAAAAAGGTTGGGGACTGCCTGTCTACATGATTTTCCTGAAACTGGAATAAGCACCACATGTTCAGGAAGCCCACAGAAAGGCCCTTGGAACTGGAAGGGACTGGTAGAAAGTATGAGATGAATCTGATGAGAGAGACAAGAGTCAGATCAAGTGGAATGTTTTAAGCCCTGTTGAGGAGTTTAAAGTTTATCTTCAGGTAAATGGAAAGCTTATTTAAAAATTTTAAGCAGGAGTTAGGCAATTTGACCTGATTCGTGTCTTAAAAAGATTACTTTGGCTGCTGTATAGCATATAGATTAAAGAGAGACCAAGGGAAATAGAATTCCAATAAAAAGGCTGTAGCATTTATTCAAGCCAAAGATAAAATGTGGTGTGTTTTGAATGGTGGCAGTAGAAACAAGTGAGCAGGGAGAGTCAAAATTTATTTTAGAGGTTATGGTGATGGATTGGATTTGGAGGAAGGTTGAAGGAAGAATTCAAAAGTGGTTGGATGGATGCACTACCATTAGGATGAGGATCACTGGAGAAGAAGTGGTTGATGGTAAGGGAAAGTAGATCAGAAACTTAATTTTAGGTGTATTAAGATTGAGCTTTTTGGGGCTGGGCATGGTGACTCATTACAAAGTTCTTGTAATCCCAGTACTTTGGGAGGCTGAGGTGGTAGGATTACTTGAGGCCAGGAGTTTGAGACTGGCTTGGGTAACACAGTGAGATCTTTAGATTTCTTAGATAGCCAAAGGACATTGTTAAACGGGTCCCTGGATGTGTGGTTTTGTATTTTAGAAAAGAAAGTGTCATGTGGAGCATATGTGGGCATTCTGGTTGTAGGCATAGAGTTGTTTTTTGAGACAGTCTCACTCCGTCACTCAAGCTAGAGTGCATGGCATGATCTAGGCTCACTGCAACCTCCCAGGCTCAAGTGATTCTCAAGCCTCAGCCTCTTGAGTAGGTGGAATTACAGACATGCACCACCACACCCAGCTAATTTTTTGTATTTTTAGCAGAGATGGGGTTTCACCATGTTGACCACGCTGGTCTTGAATTCCTGACCTCAAGTGATATGCCCGCCTTGGCCTCCCAAAGTGTTGGGATTATAGGCGTGGTGCCTATAAGAGATATTTTAAGTTTTGAGAGTGAAAGGAGAGGATGTAAAATGAATGAGAATAAGACCCATGGCTGAGCACAGATGAATACCAACTTTGAACAAGTCTGGTAGTAGGATGGGAAGAGCCAGAGGAGCTGGGGAAACTGGGAAGGCTAAGTGTTAATAGAAGCCAAAGAATGTATCAAGGAGAAATAAGTGGCTCAATCTATTGAATGGTAGGTCAAGTAAAATGATAAAGTATCTGTTGGATTTAGCAACATGAAAGTTGCTAATGATCTTGGCAAATAAATACTATGTGGGAAATTGGAAACAATGTTGGGAAATTGGAAACAATAGAATGTTGAATAGTGATTGGATACAACATTTTGGAAAGTATTAATTGGCTGTATCTACTAAAGTTGAAAATGCTTATCCTCTGCAGCCCATTAGTTCCACTTCTAGCTTTCTATTCTGGAAAAACTCATTGGTAAAAAGAGTTAAGCATAACAATGATGATTTAGTGTTGTTTGTAATGGCAGAGAAAGGGGAAACTACCTAAATATATGTCATCCGGAGAGTGGATAAGTAAACTGTGTGGATACATAGTGAAAATAAATGAACTACAGCAATGGATTAACTTCATAATTCTGAGAATTATAAAAACGAAGTTCTTAGAGTTTTAATAATGTTGGAGAAATATGGAAAACAATTCAGTTTCTTATTTAGAGATACATACATATATAGTAAAAGTATAAAGATTTCTGGCTGGGAGCAGTGGCTCAAGCCTATAACCCCAGCAGTTTGGGAGGCTGAGGCAGGTGGAACATGAGGTCAGGAATTCAAGACCAGCCTGGTTTACATAATGAAACCCTGTCTCTACTGAAATGTGTGTGTGTGTGTGTGTGTGTGTGTGATAAATTAGCCAGGCATGGTGTCGTGTGCCTAGTCCCAGCTACTTGGGAGGCTGAGGCAGGAGAATGACTTTAACCTGGGAGATGGAGGTTTCAGTGAGCTGAAATCAGGCCACTGCACTCCAGCCTGGGTGACAGAGTGAGACTCTGTCTCAAAAAAAAAAAAATTCCTTGCTGGGAGTGGTGCCTAGTGCCTATAATCCCAGCACTTTGGGAGGCCAAGGCGAGTAGATCATCTGAGGTCAGGTGTTTGAGACCAGCCTGGCCAACATGGTGAACCCCCCATCACTACTAAAAATACAAAAATTAGCCAAACATCATGATGGACACCTGTAATCCCACCTACTCAGGAGACTGAGGCAGGAGAATTGCTTGAACCTGGGATGCAGAAGTTGCAGTGAGCTGAGACCATGCCACTGCATTCCAGCCTGGGGAACCAAGTGAGACTGTCTCAAAAAAGAAAAGAAAAATTCCTGAGAATGGTTGAAACCACAATTAGAATAGTGGCTACTGCTTGTAGTGGGAGGGAGTACCTGGAGATGTGATATAGGAGAAGGGCACAGCAGCCTTCAACTATGTTGTTAATGCTTTATTTCCTAAGGTGTTTGTTTGATGAGTAGCACAACTGTTCACTGTATTGGTCCTTACACCTTTTGGGGTAACGTTTTATAAAATGATTGGTTGCTCAGGAAGTGAAGAACCACTGAGAGTCCTTTTGAGAAGCTTGACTGGAGAGATATGTGGGGCCAATGCAGACCTTTTTATTTTTTTGAGACAGAGTCTCACTCTGTTGCCCAGGCTGGAGTTCAGTGGTGTGATCTTGGCTCACTGCAGCCTCTGCTTCCTGGTTCAAGTGATTCTTCTGCCTCAGCCTCCCAAGTAGCTGGGATTACAGGTGCCCGCCACCACACCCAGCTAATTTTTGTGCTTTTAGTAGAGACAGGATTTCACCATGTTGGCCAGGCTAATCTCGAACTCCTGACCACCTGTCTTGGCCTCCCAAAGTACTGGGATTACACCAGCCTTTTCTTTTTTTTAAAAAAGAATATATTTGAATGCTGATGGAAAGGATTTGAAGGATTCATTAGAGATGGAGAAGTTGAAGTTGTTGGAGAGAAGCAGTAACTTAAAGGTCTAGAAGATAGCACAATGAGGATAGTTGTTCTTTTGATAGGAAGATAGAGGTTTTTTCCTTTGTCATTGGGAGGGAAGAGAATAGATGTAGATGCTGATAGTTTGAAAGTTGATGGTTGATTGATAAAAATATTTTTCTTTCATTGTTTTTTTAATTTTTATCCTATTTTATTTTTGAGACCGAGTCTTACACTATCACCTGGACTGGAGTGCAGTGGCGCAATCTCAGTTCACTGCAATCTCTACCTCCCAGGTTCAAGTGATTCTCCTGCCTCAGCCTCCTGAGTAGCTGGGATTACAGGCACCCACTACCATGCCCAGCTAGTTTTTTTTTGTATTTTTAGTAGAGACGGGGTTTTACTTTGTTGGCTGACTGACCAGGTATGGTAGCTCATGCCTCTAGTCCCAGCCACTCTGAAGGCTGTGGCAAGGAGGATTGCTTGAGCCAAGGAATTTAAAATAAGCCTGGGCAACATGGCAAGACCCCATCTCAAAAAAAAAAGACAAATGATGGCAGAAATAAGACATTTATCCTGAAAATACGGTTTGGTGTAGTGTTGTTGGCACAGGTCTTCCCTCTGAGAATGCTTTCTTACTGACAGCCCCACCAGAGTCTTGTTTGTCTTGTAGCAGTTTTCAAACCCTTCACTGATTCCCATGTTTTGATAAGGTAAGAACCATCTTCAAATCTATAAATTCCAAAGATAGATCAATACATTTCTCAGAAGAGAGCATCTTCTGTCTCAGAAGAGTCCAAAAACATTGTGTGGAATCAGCATAGTTTAGGTTAAGTAGGCGCATAATTCATCAAAGTGTAAATAAGGTGAAAGAAAAAATACTGCATTGTAAAAAAATATATTCAAATGTGCTATGAACAGTTAAGGCAGCTGATGCCCAAATAGGCAAAGTCAAAGAAGTTGGCCTGCGTTTGGAGGTGATTTTGCATCGAAAAGGGAATTCACTTTCTTGTCTTTGATGACTGAATAACACTGTAGAACATGTCTTCTTCCTCAAGGCCAGTGATGCTTCAGATACCAGGTGGTTTCATCTTTCAAGCATGGTCCATAGAGAGGATTACATTAGGCCAGAATTGCAATCAGCCAAAAGAGAGCAGCAAACTGAACAGGTCACCATCATGGTGATGACAACTCCCCAGTTAGGCCCTTTAGGGATGAACCAGGGCACAAAGAAGCCAACAAAGCCCCAGAACATGCTCATTTCTGTGAAGCACTGTGAGGCCACAGTATGCCATGGTTGCTGCTCAAGCTGCCTCTCTTTGATTTTTAATACTCTGTTTTTTATCTTTGTCTATTAAGACAAGGTTATTTGTGAATGGAAATTAGGATTGCAGAGAGTCATAGAACATCATGAAATACTTTATGAGGAATGGGAGAGAACATTTATCAGAGAAAGATAGTACAATTTCACTTTGGGAGGCCAAGGTGGGTGGATCATGATGTTAGGAGATTGAGACCATCCTGGTCAACATGGTGAGACCTTGTCTTTACTAAAATACAAAAAATTAGCTGGGCATGGTGGTGTACACCTGTATCCTAGCTACTTGGGAGGCTGAGGCAGGGAAATCACTTGAACCCAGGAGATGGAGGTTGCAATTAGCCGAGATTGTGCCACTACAGCCTGGCAACAGAGCAAGACTCTGTCTCAAAGGAAAAAAAAAAGGAAGATAGTACAATTTCTGGGAAAATTTGAGGGTCCAGTTGAGAGTGATTTATGAAATAAATGAGAAATTCAGATAATACATAAAGATGTGATGAAGAAAGCAAAAATGTGTGGAATTGTTAGCTTTGCTTTCGTATTTTTCACCACATTATTTTAACCTGAAGGCTGTAGAAGTTTCATGACCAACTTTGGGGCAAAGGTCCTTCTGTGCTAAATATTGTCTGGGTACCTGATGTTTTGTTAGTATTGGCTTTGATCTCTAAGTGTACAACCTTTGTTTCCCTGACTTGTAGGAAGTGACCTCTTTAGACTCCCTCATGGGTAGAGAAGTTCTACCAAATGAGGTCAAGAGGGATTTATGTACTCCTGAGGCTTTGTGCTTTAACATAGTGCATTGTGGTAAAGTTAACAGTTTAATAGCAGTTGTAATATACTGGCTTTGAAAATAATCTCTTAGCTTAAATCTCATTTTGACTTTTGGAGTTTAAATCACTCAATAATCTTAGAGTTGAATGGCTCTGTGTTTCAGTAGAATAGTTATTCGAATACAGTAAGTGGAAAAAAATATTGTAACAAATTCTGACTTCCACTTAAATGGGGAAAGGCAGAGTACACATTTTATACTAAACTTTTTATTTATTTATTTATTTTTGAGACAGTCTTACTCTGTTGCACAGGCTGGAGTGCAGTGACAGTCTCAGCTCACTACAACATTTGCCTCCCAGGTTCAAGTGATTCTCTTGGTTCAGCCTCCTGAGTAGCTGGGACTACAGGTGCGTGTCACCCCACCCGGCTGGTTTTTGTATTTTTACTAAAAATGGGGTTTCACCACGTTGACCAGGTTGGTCTGGAACTCCTGGCATCAAGTGATACACTGCCTCAGCCTCCTGAAGTGCTGGGATTACAGGAGTGAGCCACCACACCCATCTGTTTAAAAATTTTTAAAATTAAAATTGTAAAAAGTCATAAAATGTTTTATGTATGTATGTATTTATTTATTTGAGTCAGAGTCTTGTTCTGTCGCCGCGTAGTACAGTGGCGCGATCTTGGCTCACTACAACCTCTGCCTCCTGGGTTCAGGCGATTCTCGTGCCTCAGCCTCCTGAGTAGCTGAGACTACAGGAGCATGCCACCATGCCTGACCCAAAATGTTTTATAACTAATGTATGTGTTTATAAAAAATTATAAAATGAATTTAATTCTTAGGAATACACATTAAAATTTTTATTTTTACTGTGTACTAATTTTTTTAATGTGGCAAAATATATATAACAAAATTTACTATTTTAATAATTTTACATATACAATTCAGTGGCATTAAGTACATTCACAATGTTGTACAATCATCAACACTGTCCATTTCCAGAACTTTTTCATCATCTCAAAGAGAACCTCACCACATCTGTTCTCTTTTCTGTCTATGAATTTGCCTATTCCAGATGCCTCATAGTAAGTGAACAATATGTGTCCTTTTGTATCTGGCTTATTTCACATAGCATAATCAAGGTTCATCTGTGTTATAGCATGTATCATAATTTCATTCCTTACGGCTAAATAGTATTCCATTGCATATATAGACCACATTTTGCTTACCCATGTTGATGGATAGCCATCTGTTAATGGACACTTGGGTTGTTTCCACATTTTGGCTATTGTGAACGATGCTGCTGTGAACATTGATGTACATAGATTTGTTTGAGTGTCTGCTTTCAGTTCCTTTGACTGTATTCCTAGGAGTAAAATTGCTGGCTCATATGGTAATTATTTGTTAAAGTTTCTGAGGAACTGCCAATCCATAGCAGCTACACCATTGCACATTCCCACCAGCAGTGCACAAAGGTTCCAGTTTCTCTACATCCTCACCAACATGTGATATTTTGTGTTTTTGTTTTTGTAATAGCCATCCTAATGGGTGTGGAATGATGTCTCATGGTGGGTATTTTCTCTCATTAAACTTTACTTGTTTGTTTGTTAATTTATTTTTTTGAGATGGAGTTTTGCTTTCGTTCATGCTGAAGTGCAATGGTGTGACCTTGGCTCACTGCAACCTCCACCTCCTGGGTTCAAGCAATTCTCCTGCCTTAGTCTCCTGAACAACTGGGATTACATGTGCCTGCCACCATACCCAGCTGACTTTTTTTTTTTTTTTGAGACGGAGTTTCGCTGTTGTTACCCAGACTGGAGTGCAATGGCATGATCTCGGCTCACCGCAACCTCCGCCTTCTGGGTTCAAGCAATTCTCCTGCCTCAGCCTCCCGAGTAGCTGGGACTACAGGCGCACACCACCATGCCTAGCTAATTTTTTGTATTTTTAGTAGAGGTGGGGTTTCACCTTGTTGACCAGGATGGTCTCAATCTCTTGACTTCGTGATCCACCTGCCTCGGCCTCCCAAAGTGCTGGGATTATAGGCATGAGCCACCGCGCCTGGCCCCCCAGCTGACTTTTTGTATTTTTAGTAGAGATCGGGTTTTACCATGTTGACCAGGCTAGTCTCAAACTCCCAACCACCTCTGCCTCCCAAAGTGCTGGGACTACAGGCATGAGCCACTGCACCCGGCTTTTGTTTTTTGTTTTTGTTTTTGAGACAGAATTTTGCTCTTGTTGTCCAGGCTGGAGTACGGTGGCGCGATCTTGGCTAACTACAATCTCTTCTGGATTCAAGTGATTCTCCTGCCTCAGCCTCCCGAGTAGCTGGGATTACAGGCATGCGCCACCATGCCCGGCTAATTTTATAATTTTAGTAAAGTCAAAGTTTCTCCATGTTGGCCTAGCCGGTCTTGAACTCCCAACCTCAGGTGATCGCATGCCTTGGCCTACCATAGTGCTGGGATTACAGGCATGCCCAGACTGTTTGTTTATTTTTTAAAACTAGTCAGTCAAGTGTGATAGTGAGAATGGGGCAAAGAGTAGAACAATGAGTTCAATCTGTAACTTCACTGTGAACAATCAGTTTACATAACTGACTACCTTTAAACCAGCCTCTCATTAAACATTGTTTCATGGGTCTCAAAATTCTTAGACAGTTTCTTGGTCAAGTTGCTTCCATTAAACAGTGCTGATTTTAAAAACTAGTAATTTAAAATTACCATGTGAAAAAAACTCAAAATGATTCACACAGCAGTCATCTTTTCCTTCTGAAGGTTTTACCATGCACTATTATCATTAACCACTCTCTTACTGTTAAACCTAAATGGCCAGTCAAAACAAAAACTTCTGAGATTATTCTTGTACCACTGATTGAGACTGTGGTGGCAGGTATTAGGGATGATATTTATTTAGTCTTCTGAGCTTTCTGGGCAGACTTGATGATGTTGCTAGGTCTAGGAGTCTTCTTGTCCACTGTTTTTTTGTTTTGTTTTGTTTTAAATTTTAAATTTAAATAAAAAAATTTTTTTGAGACAGAGTTTCATTCTTGTTGCCCAGGTTGGAGTGCAATGGTATGGTCACAGCTCACTGCAACCTCTGCCTCCCATGTTCATGTGATTCTCCTACCTCAGCCTCTCTAGTGGCTGGGATTAAAGGCGCCTGCCACCATGCCTGGCTAATTTTGTATTTTTAGTAGAGACGGGGTTTCACCATGTTGGCCAGGCTGGTTTCAAACTCCTGACCTCAGGTGATCTGCCTGCCTTGGCCTCCCAAAGTGCTGGAATTAAGGTATGAACCACTGGGTCTGGCCAATTTTACAATTTTGAGAGGGAGTCTCAGTCTGTCACCCAGGCTGGAGTGCAGTGGTGTGATCTTGGCTCATTTGAACCTCCACCTCCCAGGCTCAAGCATTCCCCTCACCTCAGTTTCCCTAGTAGCTGGGACCACAGGTGCATGCTACCACACCCAGCTAATTTTTTGTGTTTTTGATAGAGATAGGGTTTCACCATGTTGCCCAGGTTGGTCTCAAACTCCTAAGCTCATGTGGTACTCCTGCCACGGCTTCCCAAAGTGCTGGGATTACAGGCCTGAACCTGTTTTGATGACACCCACAGCAACTGTCTTATATTATGAACAGCAAAAAAACCCAGAGGAGGATAGTCAGAAGCTCTCAACATACATTGGCTTGCTGGGGACCATATCAAAGATGGCAGCGTTACCAGATTTCAAGAATTTATTTCAAGCCATCTTTTAGCTTACCAGAATGTCAGTGGGTCTTTTTCTTCAATTCAGCAAACTTGCAGGCAGTGTGAGCCATGTGGCAGTTCATTACAGGAGCATAGCCAGCACTGATTAGGCCTGGATAGTTGAGGATGATCACCTGAGCAGTGAAGCCAGCTGCTTCCATTGTTGGGTCATTTTTCCTGTCACCAGCAACATTGCCATGATGAACATCTTTGACAGATATGTTCTTGACATTGAAGCCCTCATTGTCCCCAGGTAAAGGTTCATTCAAAGCTTCATGGTATTTTGCAACAGATTTGGCTTTAGTTGTAACTGTTGACTGGAGCCAAGGTGACCACTATGCTGACACCAATCTCCAGTTGGCCTACAGAGACAGTAATAATGCCACCAATTTTGTAGATATTTTGGAGAGGCAGACACAAGGGCTTGTCACTTGGACAAGTTGGTGGTAGGATGCAATCCAGAGCTTCAAGCAGGGTGTTTGCACTGGCATTGCCATCTTCACAGGTGACTTTCTATCCCCTGAACAGAGGCATGTTAGCACTTGGCCCTGGCGTGTTGTCATCATTCCAGCCAGAAATTGGCACAAATGCTACTGTATTGGGGTTGTAGCCAACTTTCTTATTATAAATGCTGACTTCCTTAACCACTTTCTTGTAACTCTTCTGTCTGTAGGGTGGCTCAGTGGAATCCATTTTGTTAACTCCAACAATTAGCTGTTTCACACCCAGTGTGTAAGTCAGAAGGAGATACCAGCTTCAGATTCATTACCGGCAACAGTCAGGGCAGCACAGTCAGCCTGAGATGTGCCTATAATGATGTTTTTTAAAAAAGTCTCTGTCTTGGGGTGTCAACTAGTCACATAATACTTTCTGATCTTAAGTTTCCACAGGGAGCTATCAGCAGTGCCACTACGCTCACACTCAGCTTTCAGTTTATCTAAGACCCAGGCATATTTGAAGGACTCCTTTCCCATCTCAGTAGCCTCATTAGCTGATGGATCTTTTATCAATCCCACCACATTTATAGATCAGATGGTCAGTAGTGGTGGACTTGCCTGAGTCTATGCGTTCAGTGACAGTGATATTGGTAAGGGCCTTCCTTTCCCATTTTGGCTTTTAGGGGTGGTTTTTTCAACTGACCTGTGTCCTTGGTGGCAAATCTGATGCAAAAAAGATCATGGTGGTTTCATTTATTTTTATTTTTTTGAGACGGAGTTTTGCTCTTGTCACCCAGGCTGGAGTACAATAGTGTGATCTCGGTTAACTGCAGCCTCCGCCTCCCAGGTTCAAGTGATTCTCTTGCCTTAGCCTCTTGAGTAGCTGGGATTACAGGTGACTGCCACCACACCCAGCTATTTTTTTTGTATTTTTTGAGAGATGGGGTTTCACCATGTTGGCCAGGCTGGTCTTGAACTCTTGACCTTGTGATGTACCCACCTTCGCCTCCCAAAGCTCTGGGATTACAGGCGTGAGCCACCGTGCCCAACCAAGTGTGTGGCTTTTAACTTTGTTCTTTTGCAAGGTTGTTTTGACTATTCTGGATCTTTTGAATTTAAGGATCAGCTTGTGAATTTCTGCAAAGAAGTCAGCTGAGTTTTTCTTTTTTATCTTTTTAAGAAACGGAGTCACTCTGTCACCCAGGCTGGAGTGCAATGGTGAGAACGCGGCTCACTGCAGCCTCAGCTTTCTGGGGTGAAGCAATCCTACCACAGCTTCCTGAGTAGCTGGGACTATAGGTACACACCAGTATGGATGGCTATTTTTTTTTTTTAAGATAGGGTCTCACTGTATCCTCCACCTTCCAGGCTCGGGTGATTGTCTCACTTCAGCTACTTGAGTAGCTGGGACTACAGGCACGCATCACCACGCCCAGCTAATTTTTGTATTCTTTGTAGAGACTGAGTTTCACTGTATTGCCCAGGGTGGTCTCGAACTTCTAGACTCGAGCAGTCCTCCCGCTTCAGCCTCCCAAAGCTAGGATTACAGGCATGAGCCACCATGCCTGGATTGGAATTGCTGTCTTAATTTCATTTTTGGTTTAATTATTGCTGCCATACAGAAATACATCTGATTTTCTGTGTTTTAATGCTGTATCCTGCAACCTTGCTGAACTCACTCGTTAGCTCTAATAGATTATAAGTGGATTCTTTAGGATTTTCTATATACAGGGTCATCATTTTACTTCTTTTTTTTTTTTAAATATGGAACACTTCATGAATTTGCATGTCATCCTTGCACAGGGGTCATGCTAATCTTCTCTGTATTGTTCCAATTTTAGTATATGTGCTGCCGAAGCGAGCACTCATCATTTTACTTCTTTCTTTTTAGTTTGATGGCTTTTGTTTCTTTCTTGCCTAATTGCCCTGGCTAGAAGAAGTCACAGGTGTTGAATAGAAGAGGTGAAAGCAGACATCCTTGTCCTGCTCTTAGGGGGAAAGCATTCAGTGTCTCACCATTAAGTATGGTATTAGCTGTGGGGTTTTTTGTTTTTTGCTTTTGAGAGGGAGTCTCTTTTGAGACTCCAGTCTCTGTTACCCAGGCTGGAGTGCAATGGCGTGATCCCAGCTTACCACAGCCTCTGCCTTCTGGGTTCAAGTGGTTCTCCTGCCTCAGCCTCCTGAGTATCTGGGATTATCAGGCGCCACCACGCCTGGCTAATTTTTGTATTAGTGGAAATAGGTTTCACCATGTTGGTCAGGCTGGTCTCAAACTCCTGACCTTGTGATTGCCCACAGGCCTTTGAAAGTTTAAGACAGGTATGAGCCACCCTGCCCAGTTGGTGGGTTTTTTTGCAGATGCCTTTTATTAGTTTGGGGAAATTCTTTTTTATTCCTAGTTTGTGGAGTGTTTTTATCAAGAAAGAGTGTTAAAATTTGTCACTTTTTTTTCTGCATCTGTTGAGACAATCGTATGCTTTTTTTTCCCCTTTACTGTGGTATATACATTAATTGATTGTGGTATATTATGTTAGCTGGTCTTAGGTGTTAAAGCAACCCATGTTCCTGAGATAAATCTCACTTGATCATGGTGTATAATCTTTTGTATATATTGCTGTATTCAGTTTGCTAGTATTTTGTAATTATAAGGTTTTATTGATCTATAGTTTTCTTGTAATGTCTTTGTCTGGTTTTGATAAATATTGGCCTCATAGAATGAATTGGAGTATTTCTTCCTCCTCTTTTCAGGAGTGTTTGTGAAGGATCAGCACTAAGTAGCTGGGATTACAGACACGTGCCACCATGCCCAGCTAATTTTTTAATTTTTAGTAGAGGTGGGGTTTCACTATGTTGGCCAGGCTGATCTTGATCTCCTGACCTCAAGTCACCTACCTGCCTTGGCCTCCCAAAGTGCTGGGATTTTAGGCATGAGCCACTGTGCCCAGCCTTAATTTTTGTGTTTTTAGTAAGGATGGAGTTATGCCATGTTGCCCAGGCTGGTCTTGAACTCTTGACTTCAAGCAGTCTACCTGTCTTCCCCAAAGTGCTGAGATTACAGGCATGAGCCACCGTGCCTGGCTAAAACTGTTAGAATTACTATTTTTGAGACTGAGCCTTGCTCTCTGTTGCCCAGGCTGGAGTGCAGTGGTGCAATCTTGGTTCACCACAGCCTCTGCCTCCCAGGTTCAAGAGCACATGAACGTTAACTTAGCCTCCCAAGGTGCCTGCCACCACACCTGGCTAATTTTTTGTATTTTTAGTAGAAACGGGATTTTGCCATGTTGGCCAGGCTGGTCTCAAACTCCCAGCCTCAAGCAATCTGCCCACCTTAGCCTCCCCAAAGTGCTGGAATTACAGGTGTGAGCCACCACCCCTGGCCAAAACTGTTAATTTTTTAAGGTAAATTGTTTTAAGTGCCCGCGAAGTACTTATGTTCAGTCAATACATTAATTATAAACAAATATATACGTATTTTTAGGTTTTTGTTTACAGTTCCTGGCTCCCAGCTTCTGAACCCTTGCAATTTCCTAAATGATAGAGCAGTAAGAATATCTTTTGTTAAAATGTTTGGCCTTTTGTCCTTGGTGCCTGAAACAACTGTGAACAGTTCTGGAGGGATAATGGTGAAAGGCACCGTTTTGTTATTTTTAACAAGCCCCTTTCAACCACACCTGAGCTTACCTTAATGAGGTGATTTTTGGAAAGTCCCTTGGTAACCACAAGAGGAATGGTTGCCAGGGGAACCAACCTAATGCTGGTAGGGTTGGAACTCATAGCCCTACTCCCCACCTCTTGGGGGAGGGGTTGAAGGTTGAATTGATCACCAATGGCCAGTGATTTAATCAGTCATGCCTATGTAATGAAGCCTTCTTAAAAAGTCAGAAGGGCCAGCACAGTGGCTCAGGCCTGTAATCCCAGTAGTTTGGGAGGCTGAGGCGGGCAGATCACCTGAGGTAGAGAGTTTGGGACCAACATGGGGAAACCCTGTCTCTAACTGAAAATACAAAATTAGCTGGATGTGGTGGCACATGCCTGTAATCCCAGCTACTCAGGAGGCTGAGGCAGGTGAATTGCTTGAACCTAGGAGGTGGAGGTTATGGTGAGCTGAGATCATGCCATTGCACTCAAGCCTGGGTAAGGAGCGGGGTAGGGGGAGGGGGGAAATAAAGGCGGGCGCTGTAGATTACGCCTGTGATCCCAGCACTTTGGGAGGCCAAGGTGGGCAGATCACAAGAAAGTTAACTCGCCTGTCCTACAAAGACTGCTGCCATTCGTGCTGAGAATAATAAAGCTCTGTTTTTTTTGTTTTTTTCTGGGAAAAAAAGTATAGTATTGGGGGAGGCTTGGTTGCTCTTATGCCTGTAATCCCAGCACTTTGGAAGGCCAAGGTGGGAGGATTGCTTGAGGTCAGGAGTGCTAGACTGGCCTGGCCAACATGGCAAAAACCTGTCTCTACTAAAAATACAAAATTTAGTCAGGTGTATTGGCTTGCATCTGTAATCCCAGCTACTCAGGAGGCTGAGGCAGGAGAATTGCCTTGAACTCAGTAGATGTAGGTTGCAGCGAGCTTGGAGATTGCACCACCGCACCTCCAGCCTGGGTGATAGAGCAAGTCTCTGTTTCAGGAAAAAGCCCAAGAATGTAATACTGGTTTTGTTACTAACTGTAATTTTATAACTATAGTTTTTGATTAACTTTAATTTTCTGATTTGATTTATGAATTATAGGCTAGAAATACTCCATACATATAACTTGATTGTTTTCTTCTGGGCCCTAATGGGACTTTTTTTTTTTTTTTTTTAAAACAAAACCAGGTCCAATAATTTAATTTCTCCAGGGAAGAGTATTGTACAGTCCCTGGTAATCCCTAGTGCCAGAGTTTGACAGCCTGTACTACCATTGTCTATTTAACCAAAATCTTTGATGCTGTAAATTGACTGTATTTCTCTTGGTTTGTTCTGGTAAAAATAAGACAAACTGTCATGATTATAGAGATGAGACTTCCATTTTTTTCCCCTACTCCAAAAACTGTCTTTTTCAATACAATTTCAGTTACTGCTACCCAAGTTAATTTTAGATTTTATCACTGAAAACCTGGGTTTTGCCATTTATTGAGGTGTTATTTGAAATATAAATATATTTAGAGCAGAATTGTCATTTTTTAGGGAATCTAGAGCAACAGCAAAGCTGAGGTCAAACTGCCATAAGGATGGACACCAAGGAAGCGGTGTTTGGGACAAAAAGAAATCAAGATAAGGTAGATGCAAAGCAGAGAAAAGAACTGGACCCTGCGGGGAAGGGTGGTAGTTGGGAGTGGGTTTTATGCTTCTAAGGGCAAAGAATAGATAGATTTCTGAAGAGGAAGCCCCAAAAGGAAATATTGAGGATTTGTGTTCAAATGCTACCTTCCCTCTTAATGTACAAGTTTCTGCTTTTAGCTAACAGAGTACTTCAAACGTTGATAAGGTTAAGAGTTTCGTTGGGGTTGGTTCTAATATTCTGGACTAGTGTTTCCTCTGAATAGTTGTGCAAGACACTATTGGTATTTGGTGATGAAACCATTACCAAAACCCAACTTCAGCACTAATGCCTGTATTACTTGGAAGTTGAAAGGGAATCTGTGACTGAAGTGTTAAGCTGACAAAATCAGTACAGAATATTTTATTTTTCCTTTTATTTTTGTGATAAAAAGATTGTGTTTTTTTTCATAGCAACATGAACCGTGAAGACCGGAATGTGCTGCGTATGAAAGAACGGGAAAGGCGGAATCAGGAAATTCAGCAGGGCGAAGACGCCTTCCCACCTAGTTCTCCTCTCTTTGCTGAGCCATACAAAGTTGTAAGTTGTCCTTCTGTGAATGTTTTTTTCCCATTAGCATGACATTTTTGCTTTTAAAATGTTTCATACTTGAATGTTTATATTAGAAAAGAATTATTATGACTACCACTGAACATTTTTCCTGTCCTTTACATATAACATACTTTTTTGGGGGGGATAAACTTTTTTTGGAATATAATATGCTTACAGAAAAATACACAAAATAAGAGTTATGGCTTGAAGAATTTTCACAACATCAGCAGCTTCATACATTCAGTACTCAGATCAAGAAATAGAGCATTAGCAGCACCCTAAAAGTTGTCTTCCAACCCACGTCCTATTGCTGTACTGTGTTCTAAAAAATGTGGTCTGAGTTGGCTCATACATTTATTTCTATTTTCCTAGTTGTGCTACTAACCATGGGCAGGTACTTTACCATTCTGAGCCTTGAATTAGATTAGTATTTTGTGACTCAATTTGCATTGTTTGATTTTTTTCCTAGGTGTTCCTTAAGTATGATACCAATAAAAAATGAATATTTTTCATAGATGCTTTTGTTTCTTCTCCTCACTTATTGCCATTTGCTGCTTAGTTTACAGAGTTTCAGAGATTATTAGTAGTATGTTTGAATAAGTGTGTTTTCAGTATCAGTCTGATTTCTTCTTTTTCTGTTGTTATAGTGTCACTTGGGTATAACTTGTTTCACTAAATTTTTGTTTCTGCTTCTAACTATAACATTGAATTGTAAGGAATATAATATTTTCATAAACTGCCAAATGTTAGCTAATCTGCTGGCCTGCGAACTTAATTTTATAAAGGCAGTTTATTTTCTGTTCTTCAAAAGATTTTGGTTTTTTTAGACAGAGTCTCGTTCTTTCGTCTAGGCATGAGTGCCATGTCATAATCTTAGCTCACTGTCACCACTGGCTCCTGGGTTCAAGTGATTCTCCTGCCTCAGACTCCCAAGTGGCTGGGATTACACGCATGCACCACCTTGCCTGGTTAATTTTTTCCTTTTTGGAGGTGGATTCTCACTGGAGTGCAATAATGCAGTCTTGGCTCACTGCACCCTCCACCTCCCGGGTTCAAGCGATTCTCATGCCTCAGCCTCCTGAGTAGCTTAGATTACAGGTGCCCGCCACCATGCCTGGCTAATTTTTGTATTTTTAGTAGAGATGGGGTTTCATCAAGTTGGCTAGGCTTGTCTCCAACTCCTGACCTCAGGTGATCTGCCTGCCTCAGCCTTCCAAAATGTTGGAATTACAGGCATGAGCTACCGTATCCAACCACCCTCGGCTAATTTTTGCATTTTTAGTAGAAATGGGTTTTCACCATGTTGTCCAGGCTGGTCTAGAATTCCTGACATCAGGTGAGCCACCTGCCTCGGCCTCCCAAAGTGCTGGAATTACACAAGTGAGCCACTGCCCCCAGCCCTTCAAAAAACTAAGTATTTAAAAGACAGAGTCTTGCTATGTTATTCATGCTGGAGTGCAGTAGCTATTCACAGGCGCAACCGTAGTACAAAATCTTGGAATTGAATAATCCTCCTGCCTCAGCCGCCTGGAGTAGCTGGGAAGTACAGGCACGTGCCACTGCACTTGGCTTATGTTTTAGCATGGTTATTTTTAGCCAATTTTCAATGATTTATTTTTTTTCACTACAGAAATGATATATTTGGAGTTTGCTTCAAGGTATTAACATTAAGATATGAGGTAAAGTCTCCCTTTGAAAAACCCCTTTCCATTAGAAGTTTGGAAAATTAGTTCAGAAGCATATTTTATTTCTAATATGCTCATTGTGTAATTTTATTTATTTATTTATTTTGTAGACTAGCAAAGAAGATAAGTTATCAAGCCGCATTCAGAGTATGCTTGGAAACTACGATGAAATGAAGGATTTCATAGGAGACAGATCTATACCAAAGCTTGTTGCAATTCCCAAGCCTACAGTACCACCATCAGCAGATGAAAAATCTAACCCAAATTTCTTTGAACAGAGACATGGAGGCTCTCATCAGAGTAGCAAATGGACTCCAGTAGGACCCGCACCCAGCACTTCTCAGTCTCAGAAACGGTCCTCAGGCTTACAGAGTGGACATAGTAGCCAGCGGACCAGTGCGGGTAGCAGTAGTGGCACTAATAGTAGCAGTCAGAGGCATGACCGTGAGTCGTATAACAGTAGTGTGAGCAGTAGCCGGAAAAAGGCCAGCATGGATCAGAACACTCCAAATCACGTTCTTCTAGCCCCGGAAAACCCCAGGCTGTTTCTTCCTTAAGCTCTAGTCATTCCAGGTCTCATGGGAGTGATCACCATAGCAAGGAACATCAACGCTCCAAATCGCCTCGGGACCCTGATGCAAACTGGGATTCTCCTTCCCGTGTACCTTTTTCAAGTGGGCAGCACTCAAATCAATCTTTCCCACCCTCATTGATGTCAAAGTCCAACTCAATGTTACAGAAACCTACTGCCTATGTGCGGCCCATGGACGGACAAGAGTCCATGGAACCAAAGCTGTCTTCTGAGCACTACAGCAGCCAATCCCATGGCAACAGCATGACTGAGCTGAAGCCCAGCAGCAAAGCACATCTCACCAAGCTGAAAATACCTTCCCAACCACTGGATGTAAGTCACACATTTAGAGCTTTTAACGTTGTGACTGTGAAGCAATTGATGCTTATGAAATTATGATTGAACTTGAACTGTTTCCTTGCCTTAATAGTAAGGAATGTAAAAGTTTAAAGATTGAAAAAAAATGTAGACAGACTTACGAGTTACTCCCAAATGGATCTGTAGAGCCGTTAACTTGTCCTTTTGGGAAATGGAGAAAATGTCGTCCACAGTTTTCAAATATTAAGATGATAAGTTAGTTATAGAATAAAAGAATGACCCATTGATATCTTAGATTTCTGCATTTTAATTTTATGGAACAGTATACCTTTGTGATTTAAAAACAAAATGAACTTCTCTTCGCTTAGATTAATACTAATGAATGAGATGCAGGTCATGGTTTATGGTTATGGTAAATGGGACTTTTGAGTCCCATTGGACTCAAAAAAAGTGGAAATGGTAATATTGTATTCTTTGAATGCTATGATCCTTTTCTCTGGTTATGCTTTTTCTTTTTCTTTTTTTTTCTTAAGCGGAGTTTTGCTGTCACCCAGGCTGGAGTGCAGTGGCCCCATCTTGACCCTCTGCAACCTCCTCCTCCTCAGTTCAAGCAATTCTCCTGTCTCAGCCTCCCAAGTAGCTGGGATTATAGGCATACGCCACCACACCCAGCTAATTTTGTATTTTTAGTAGAGGCAGGGTTTCACCAAGTTGATCAGGCTGGTCTTGAACTCCTGACCTAAAATGATCCTCCTGCCTTGGCCTCCTAAAGTGCTGGGATTACAGGCGTGAGCCACCACACCTGGCCTCTTGGGTTGTATTAAAGGATTGAGACAGCTGCTCCAGATTCATAGTGATGGTTTGAAATTTGAATTGAATTGTATCCCAAAGCCTGATATTCAAAACAACCAAACAAGGGAACATTTCACTGTGAAATAGCTGAAATTTTATCTTTTTTTCCGAGATGGGTGTCTCATCATGTTGCCCAGGCCCGTCTGGAACTCCTGATCTCAAGTGATCCTCTCACCTTGGCTTCCCAAAGTGCTGAGGTTATAGACATGACCATCATGCCTGACCCAAATTTTATCTTCCCCCTGCCTTTTTTTTTTGGAGACAGAGTTTTGCTCTTGTTGCCCAGGCTGGAGTACAGTGATGTGATTTTAGCTCACTGCAACCTCCAGCTCCTGAGTTCAAGCGATTCTCCTGCCTCAGTCTCCTGAGTAGCTAGGATCACAGGCATGTGCCACCATGCCTGGCTAATTTTGTATTTTTAGTAGAGGCGGGGGTTTCACTATGTTGGTCAGTCTGGTCTCGAACTCCTAACCTCAGGTGATTCGCCTGCCTCGGCCTCCCAAAGTGCTGGGATTATAGGCGTAAGCCACTGCGCCCAGCCCCAAATTTTATCTTTTGATGTAGTTTGTGCAATAAAGAAAAAATTTGGAAAGTAATCTCAGTAGCCAAAAACTTATAACTCTTAGCTCAAAATGGTGGAGGGAAGAATTTGGGTAATGTCAAATGCTGTTTTGCAAACATTTAAAGTATCTTTCCAGTGGCCTTGGGAAACTCATTTTGAGTGGCATTTGTTATCTAATTACACCTCTCAAGAGAACAGTAAAATGGTCATTTGTTTCTTTAAACAACATGATCTTTAGAGCTAGACTGGAGTTCAGCTCTCTAATTCCTGTTTGTGCATTAGAATAAATAATTTGCTTTTTGTGATTTAGAAAGACTGTAAAATGTCCATGTTCTACCCCAGTAATCTTTCAGTAATACTTGTTTAACCCATTTATGCCTAGTGTTTCATTATTGGATTGCTAAGCTTGTAGGAGTTATTTATATCCTACTGCTCGAGGTCATTGCCAAGGTCTGATTTTTCACAAAAAAACTTTGCAACCTCTGGCATAAATGGGTTAACTCTGTTTATACGAAATGATGTATCTCAGTATCATGATATCGTTTATATATAGATAAGTTTAAATTTTTGGATAAGCTGCACACCTGAAAAATTACATTCTAAAAATTATTTCTAATCTAAAATATAAGATAAAAAAACGTAAAACCTTCGAAAACTTTACAGTTCTCCCAGCTTTGTATGGTTTAGTGATTAGAATTTTCCGGTGCTTGAAGAATTTGTATTTAAGGAAATTAATCCAAAGAGTCTAACCAGTGTTCTGATTTAGAGTAGTGGGATCATAAATACTTTCAATAATGTTTTAAGTCCGTGAAGCAAATACTAAAAGTCTACTGATAAAAATCTAATGTGTGCTGCTTCTTCTCTTAAGGCATCAGCTTCTGGTGATGTGAGCTGTGTGGATGAAATCCTAAAAGTAAGTTTAAAAAAAAAAATCATTTCAAGCTCTTTAATTTTTTTATGCTCTGCTACCCTCTTATCCTCCTTCTACCTATATTGCACAAAGGATCTGAAGCAACGGATTGCTTATATGTGTAACTTATGCCCATCATAAATAATGTACTCTCTTTTGCTTATATAGATTCTAAATCACATGGTTTGTTTACCATTTGCCTTCAAAGAGCTTTGTTCTTTGTGTTTTTTTGTTGTGTTTTTTGAGACAGAGTCTTACTCTGTCGCCCAGGCTGCAGTGCAATGGTTCGATCTTGGCTTACTGCAATCTCCGCCTCCCAGGTTCAAATGATTCTCCCGCCTCAGCCTCCCAAGTAGCTGGGATTACAGGTGCCCACCATCATGCCCAGCTAATTTCTATATTTTTGTAGAGATGGGGTTTCACCATGTTGACTAGGCTGATCTGGAATCCCTGACCTCAGGTGATCCACCCCCACCTCAGCCTCCCAAAGTGCTGGGATTACAGGTGTGAGCCACTGCGCCCGGCTGCATTCTTTGTTTTTAAGTAAAACAAATTTTAGTCTTAACACTTACTTTGCCTGGAAAACATGAACAAGCCAATTATAACTGTACTTTCTCATGCTTAACTGTTAGTAATTTGAAGTGCAAAAATCTCAGTAGTTATCAATCAAACCATTTTGATCAAAATACCTTGCTTTAGTTCATCTGTACATACTGGTCAAATCTTACAGTAATAGATTTCCTTCTAGTTTTGCACTTTTGAAAAAAAATACCTGGGGGTCTTGCTCTGTGGCCCACGCTGGAGTGCAGAGGCACGATCTTGTCTCACTGTTAAGCTCTGCCTCCTGGGTACAAGTGATTCTTCTGCCTCAGCCTCTCGAGTAGCTGGACTTACAGGCCCCTGCCACCATGCCCAGCTAATTTTTGTATTTTTAGTAGAGATGGGATTTCACCATGTTAGTCAAGTTGGTCTCAAACTCCTGACCTCAGTTGATCCGCCTGCTTCGGCCTCCCGAAGTGTTGGGATTACAGGCATGAGTCACTGTGCCTGGATGTGTTTTACGTGTTTTGTTTTTGTTTTTGTTTTTTTGAGACAGAGTTTTGCTCTGTCACAAGGCTGGAGTGCAATGGCATGATGTCGGCTCACTGCAGCCTCTGCCTCTGGAGATCAAGTGATTCTCCTGCCTCAGCCTCCTGAGTAGCTGAGATTATAGGTATCTGCCACCCCGCCTGGCTAATTTCTATTATTATTATTATTATTTTTAGTAAAAATGGAGTATCACCATCTTGGCCAGGCTAGTTCGGAACTCCTGACATCAGGTGATCCACCTGCCTTGGCCTCCCAAAGTGCTGGGATTTTAGGCATGAGCCACCATGCCTGGCCAACATTTTAGATATTTAGTGAAATAGGTTTAAAATTGACACATGATCAAGAAGTACATTATACTATTGGAAAAAGAGAAAGTCCAGTGAATTAATGAATGACAGTGACTACTTTTTGCTTAGGAAACTGTTAGTCACATATTACTTAATTTTCTTTTCTTTTTTCTTTTTCTTTTTTTTTTTTTGTGAGCTTCTGAGATTGTGTCTATATTCCGTATTTCACTGTGAATACCTTTGAAAGACTACCTGCATTGGTTCCTTCCACTGTTTTCTTTCCCTTTCCTTCCTTTAGCCCGCTATAATTTCTCTTTTACCTCTACCATTTTGCTGAACCTATTTCTCTGTGGTCATTATCTTTCTCCTTTCATCCAGAGGCATCAGTTGAGTTCTTTTTTATTCTTTCTGCTGTTTATTTTTTCCTTTTGGAAACATTCTTCTCTACTTGACTATTGTTATGCTTCATTGTTTTTATTTGCCTTCTACCTTTTTTGCCTCTCTTTCTTTGCCCTTTTTGGAAACCTGTGTCTTCTCTTATCCCTTCAGTGCAGGTGCATTCTTCCAGCCTCTGCTCTTTCTGCTCTTTGACTTGCCTTTTCCACCATTCTTGGCTTTATCTGTTAGACAGCTGTTTACGCTTTCTCTCCTGCATTGACCTCTTGGGTTTTGGTTTGTCTCTTAATTGCTTCTTAGCTGGGTTTCCATTGGGATTTATTTCTCTTTGCTTCTTCAGACTCAACATGTCTAAAGCCGTACTTATCAGACTTCCTTGGATTAGTAGTACACCATTTTCCCATGCTTGTAAGTGTAGAATCCTAATTATCTGTGATTTCTTCCTCATGTTCTATGTAGTTGCAAAACTAGATGTAGACTTTGAAATTTTTGTTTTTTAAATATCCATTCCTTTCTTTCCATTTCTGCAGCTTTGAGCTTCAATAATTATAACACTGAGTACTCACTCAGCCTTTCTGCCTCCAGAATCTCTGCTTATAGTCTTGCATTGCTTCCTGATTCTTTACTTCAGGCCCTGGTCTTCATAAATTAATTTTTTCCTTAAAAATTTTCAGTGGCTCTCTAAGACCTGTAGAAAGAATAGTATCCAAATTTAATGTTCACAGACCAATCTTAACCTCTTTCATTACTGATTGACTACTTTGGCAAAACTGGTTTCCCTAAGCCACATACTTTCTTGCTGTTTTACCTCCTTAAATAAAGTATGTTTGGAATCTTTTTCCTTCCTCTTCAGTTATCTATAGATTGTTTTTTCCTGGAATCCCAATGAAATCCTTCTTCGTATCAGATTATGAGACTACAGTGACTGCTCTTTCATTTGAATCTCATTTGTTTCTTAGTTGCCACGTATATAAAAAGTCCAAGGGAGCGTAATATTTTCCTCTGAATCCTCAACAGTGCATGGAATTATTAGTACCTGGAAGATTTTCTTACATTTAATGATCTGTTTAATGTTATTGACAGCTACATTTTATATGTACAGGGACTTGGCACTTGGCCTTTAGTTAAAAGGTGCTCAGTCTATTCAATGATAGTTGGAGAATTAGATCAGATTTTTATTTGAGAATTTCGACATTTGAGATATAAAATGCCAATGCTAAAAACCTGAGTTTATGAATTTCTGTTTCCTTTTCCCTTTCCTATTTGTAGTATGCAAGGAACTTCAGGTGTGTGTTGCCTTCATGTTTTTGTATTTGTAGTTGGATCATTTGTAGGAACTCTGTCATGAACTTAAAGAAAAATAAATTACTCTAAAAGTAATGTATATTTATTGAAAAAATGATTTATTCAAGGCATGCTAATTGAACACCTACTTTGTGTCAGCCACTGGTAATACAGTGGTCATAATGATAGCTGTTATACCTTTGAGCTGATATTCTAGAGCTGGATGTATGAAGTAATCAATTATATAATATTATTTCAGGAAGTGAAATTCTATTTAAAAAACAAAGCATTTTAAGGGAATAAAGAGCAATTTTGTACAGATGGCTATTTTAAGAGGTTCAAGTAGTAATATATCAAATGCCCTCATCTCTTCTTCCTTCTGTCATTCTGTTGCCCAAAGCAAGTTATAAACATTTACTAGGACATAGACTATGATTTGTCTTTGTCACTTAACAAAATACTGTGGGCATCATTACATATTAATAGTTAAATTTCTCATTTTAATGTCTACTTGGTATTCTGTTTTATAGATGTCTGATAATTTATTTAATCAACACTTTGTTGGTGTCAACCTAAATAACAGAGGCTCTCTAAAAGAAAAGACAATGGGAATAGAGCATTGCAATGGGAATATGTGTGCCATAATCGTTTATGTGCATATTCAAGGAGGCAAAGAAAGACAAAGGTTTTTTAAAGGGAAAAATGAGGAAGATTATATAATTGTTTTTGAAATTATTATTCTTGGCTACAAAGATCAGTAGTAAGGATGACACCAGTCTAAGGTTGGACAGGCTGGACAGATGTCCTTGTGGAAAAACTTTTTGGTTTAAGGTTTTGATGACCTTTGTGCAAGGTTGTGGTTTTTGTAGACTTTTTTGTTTATCAGGCATATAAGCATCAAGTATGAAAAGCCTTTCTTCATGATCTTTCTCAGCTCAGGGTGTTTTTTTTGTTTGTTTTTTTGTGTGGTGGTTTCAATTTTTGAAGTGTCAACCCCTTGTACATGTATCTTTACAAAACTGTATAGATATTGCTATGGGATAAATTCCTAGGTGTTATGCCACTGTTAATTTGTTTTATTTTCTTAATTTAACTGATGGCTTACTTTGATCTAAATGCCATAAATAAAACACTCTCTCCTTATCCTGTTACCTCTGTCTCCTTGGCTCCTCAAATATGTCTGGGTGAGGTCTGTAAGATAAGCTTACAGACCTCACCCAGACATATTTGGCATTAAGATTAGACAGAAGGCATTGAATAAAATCAAACTTAGGGTCTTGCTTTTCTGTCTTCTTCCTCTTGTGCTTTTGAAATTTCTCTTCTGATTTCTTCCCCTGTCAGAATTTTTCTATGAGCATGTAGACTATAGCCAGACTTTTGAGGGTGAAATATAATGTTTATTATTTACCAAGTGTATGGCCTTGAATAAATTAACTTTTGTGCTTCAGTGTCATCCTAAATAGAGGTAGGATAATAATGGTATCTACCTCATAATGTCATTGTGAGTATGAAATGAGTAATAAACACGTAAAACACTTAGCACAGTGTCTGGCCCATTAAAGGTACACAGTAAATGTTAGCTGTTTCCTTATTGTTGTCCCTTTCCTCCTTCTCTCACAGCGAGCTCTTCCTTATTAGTGTTTTATTATGTGCCTTGTATTTGATTACAGGCTGATTTCTGTAACAATTCACAGGTTTCATCATTTGAATTGTAAACTCCTTGAAACCAGGAGTTTATTAATCTTCGTATTACCTACACCATAGTGCCTTGCACACAATTGTACTTAATATTTATTAAGTATGTAGAATTTTGGAGGAGCTGTCATGAAACCAGTATTTATAAATACAAATCTGGTTTTTAGCTGTATAATTTTTATCCTTGACCTGGTTGAAAACAAACTGTAATAATTACATTTCAGGAGATGACGCATTCATGGCCTCCCCCTCTAACGGCTATTCATACACCATGCAAAACAGAACCTTCCAAATTTCCTTTTCCAACTAAGGTAAGTAAACAAAATGTGTCTTTCATAATGTAAGAAAACTCTAAATGGCTTGACTAAAATTATATGGATTAAAAATTGTCTTGCCATTCCTATTCTAGTGGGAGATAGGCAGTAAATAAGTGAATAAATAGATAAGTTTAGATAGTGACAACTGTTATGAAGATTATTAGCAGGGTAATGGAATTGAAAGCATTTTGGATCAAGGGCTATTTAAAAAAGCTTAGAAGGCAATATGGGGGAGAGATTCAAAACATACTGATATAGCTGGACACAGTGGCTTATGCCTGTAATGTCAGCACTTTGGAAGGCTGAGGCAGGAGACTCTCTTGAGGCCAGGAGTTTGTGACCAGCCTAGTCAAATAATGAGACACCATCTCTACCAAAAATGGAAAAAAAAATTAGCTGGGCATAGTGGCACACACCTGTGGTCCCAGCTACTTGGGAGGCTGAGATGGGAGGATCACTTGAACCTGGGAGGTCAAGTCTGCAGTGAGCTGTGATTGCACCATTGCGCTCCAGCCTGGGCAACAGAGCAAGATCCTATCTTTAAAAAAAAAATAGACATTGATATTTATTGCAAACTATTTTGGTATTGTAGGCCAGAGTTGGTAAGGGCTTCTCAAACTGTTGTTTTAAGAACCTGTTTCCATAAGACATAGCAACCATACTTATGTCCCGTTGAAAAAAGTTGTTCAGATAACAGTTCCAAGGTTATTTAAAATCAGCAGATTGATTTTTTTTTAAAGTTATACTTAACAGTATTAATTTGTATTTACACAGATAATACAAAAATACATTCTCCTTGTGAAAGTTTGACCAGGACCCCTAATAATAGCCTTTTCCCAATTCTGTTCCCTTCATCCCAACAGAAGGGGTACATCTTTCATATGTACCTTTGCAAGTCTTTTTTTATATTCATGTACATAACATATATGTAATCATTACATGTACTCATTTTCTCATTTATTTCTACACAAATATGTTGTTCTGTATCTTTCATCAGTAGGTCTTGGGGACCTGTCCATGTTATTACGTAGAGAGGTATTTCATTTCTTTTAACTGCATCTGTAGTATTAATGTATCCTAGTTTATTTAGCCATTTCTCTGTGGTATTTAATCTGATAGCAAGTTTTCTTTTCTATAAATGTTTAGTTGGTGTCTTTGATCATGCCTTCTTTGTGCGTGTGATTTCAGGTAAAAAGCAGAAAGTAGAATTGCTGAGTGTTCGTAGTATATATTTAATCTATACTCTTACAAATTCCTTCCATAGTTCTGATACAGGATTTGTATGAGCCAGTACTCTCACTTGTATTACCTATTGTTTCACATATGCACACCACCATTTGATGTTATTAAATAACGGTGTTTTGAATAAAAACGGCATTCCATTTGCTTGATGGCTGGTGAGGTTCATCATCTTTACATATTTGTTATCTGTTTGGTTTCTTTGTGGGTGAACTTGCTTATTCTCACTGTCCTTTGGGTCGTGTTTTTTACCTATTGAGTTTTAGGTGGTCTTTGTTTTTTGTTTTGTTTGAATTCTGGATTCTAGTAATTAATTATATATGCTGAAAATATATCTACCAGTTATATTCTTGTTTTTTTTTATGGTCTAAAGGTTTTAATTTTGATGAATAAAATATATCTTTCTCTTCCTTTACAGCTTTGCTTTTAATATCTTGTTAAAGAAGACTTTTCTTTCTCTAGGATCATGAACACACCCTCTTACTTTTCTTTTGATGTGGTTTTATTTTTTATGTTTATCTTTGTGAATGACGTCAGGTAGCTGTAAAAACTTTCTGTCTATATGTGCCGTATCACTCTTACTTTTTGAATCTTTATTTATATATGCAAAATGCACCGGTGTTTAAATGTGGAGTTTGAATTTTGTTTTTTTGTTTGTTTGTTTTTTGAGACAGAGTCTTGCTCTGTTGCCCAGGCTGGAGTGAAGTGGTGCAATCTCAGCTCACTGCAACTTCCCCTTCCTGGGTTCTAGCAGTTCTCTTGTCTCAGCCTCCTGAGTAGCTGGGACTACAGGCACATGCCACCACACATGGGTAAGTTTTGTATTTTTAGTAGAGACGGTGTTTCACCATGTTGGTTAGGCTGGTCTCCAACTCCTGACCTCAGGTGATCCACCTGCCTCTGCCTCCCAAAGTACTGGGATTGCAGGCATGAGCCACCATGCCCTACATGTTTTCTGATATAATTATTGAAGCTAGTATTTTAACTCCAAGACCTGTTTTAGGTGTATCCTACAATTGTTTTTATTATATTCAGTACAAAGGATTTTCAAATTTTCTGTGTGACCTCTTTGAATAGTGTGTTATTTAAAAGTATGTGGTTTTGTTTTCAACTCTTTGAACATTTTTTAGATGGTGACTATTTCATGTGCACTAGGCACAGTATGTTCTATATATCTCAGATCAATTTGGATGAGAGTAGATAAGTCATCTGTATTTTTAGTGACTTTCTGTCTACTTGTTCCATCAGTTACTGAAAGGAGTGTTGACATCTATGTCTGTATTTGTGGATTTGTCTTCTTACCCCTTTCAGAAAGTTTTGTCAGTTTTTGATTCCTGTATTTTGAAGTATTGTCAGTGGGTATGCACAAATTTAAGATTGCTATGTTTTTCTGATTAACTGATCCTTTTTTCATTATGAGATGTTCCTCTTTATCTTTGCTATTAATGTTTATTCTGAAGTCTACTTTGTCAGTTATTAATATAGCTACTCCAGCTTTGTTTTAATTTATTTTTAGCCTGGTTTACCAATTTTCATTCTTTTACTTTTGTCTTTTTTTGAGTTGGAGCCCTATGTTTTTCTGATTAACTGATCCTTTTTTCATTATGAGATGTTCCTCTTTATCTTTGCTATTAATGTTTATTCTGAAGTCTACTTTGTCAGTTATTAATATAGCTACTCCAGCTTTGTTTTAATTTATTTTTAGCCTGGTTTACCAATTTTCATTCTTTTATTTTTGTCTTTTTTTGAGTTGGAGCCTCACCCTGTTGTCCAGGCTAGAGTGCAGTGGCACAATCTCAGCTCACTGCAACCTCCACCTCCTAGGTTCAAGCTATTCTCCTGCCTCAGCCTCCTGAGTAGCTGGGATTACAGGCACGCATGACCATGCCTGGCTAATTTTGTGTATCTTCAGTAGAGACGGGGTTTCACCATGTTGGCCAAGCTGGTCTCCAACTCCCGACCTCATGATTCTCCCACCTTGGCCTCCAAAGTGTTGGAATTACAGGCGTGAGCTACTGTGCCCAACTCTCTTTTACTTTTAATCCATATCTTTATATATATATTATTTATGTAACAGGTTTCTTACAGGCATCATATCACTGGGTCTTGCTTTTTTTTATCCAGCCTGCCAGTCTCAGGTATTTAATCTTGCAGTGTTTAATTCATTTTCTTTTGATGTAATTATTAATATTTTTGGATTTAAAATGCACACTTTTGCTATTTGCTTTCTGTTTGACCCATCAGTTCTTTGTATTCTTTCTCAGGCTTCTTTCTTGTTAAATAATTATTCTATATTCCATTTCATCTCTTCAATGTTTATACCTCTTTTATTTTTTTAGTTCTGAAATTAAAGCTTGAGTTTATCAGAAGACTTTGAGCCTAAGTTCATTATTCTGCCTAGTACTTACTTTTTTTTTTTTTGGAGACAGAGTCTAACTCTGTCACCCAGCCTGGAGTGCAGTGGTGTGTCCCGAGTTCAAGTGTTTCTCCTTCCTCAGGCTCCCCAGTAGCTGGGATTACAGACGTGTGCCACCACACCCGGGTAATTTTTATATTTTTCAGTAGGGATGAGGTTTCACCAGGTTAGCCAGGCTGGTCTCAAATTCCTGACCTCAGGTCATCCACCCACCTCGGCCTCCCAAACTGTTGGGATTACAGGCATGAGCCACCATGTGTGGCCATAATACCTACTTTTTTGGGGTAACAGTTGTATGAAGACATAACATATGTTAAATTCACCCATCTAAACTGTTCACTGGTTGTTAGTATATTCACAGAGTTATACCATGTATTCACAGAGTTATACCACCAATACCACCATTATTTTAGGACATTTCTATTAACCTAGAAAGAAACCCTGTATCCTTTATTAGTCGCTATTACATATCTTCCAAAGCACCCTTCCCTAGTGCCTGACAGCCACTAATCTACCTTTTGTCTGTATAGATTTGCCTATTCTGGACATTTTATGTTAAGTGGAATCATATACTCTGTGACCTTTTGTGACTGATTTCTTTGACTTAGCATGATGTTTTCAAGGTTCATCCCTGTTATAGCATGTGTCAGTACTTGCAGTACTCGTGGATGAGTTTATTCCATTTTATGGATATGTCATATTTTATTTATCCATTAGTTAATGGATATTCTCCACTTTGGGGCTATTATGAATAATTTCTTTTTTTTTTTGAGACGGGAGTTTCACTCTCTCGCCAGGCTGGAGTGCAGTGGCATGATCTCAGCTCACCACAGCCTCCATCTCCTGGTTTCAAGTGATTCTCCTGCCTCAGCCTCGCGAGTAGCTGGGACTATAGGCACATGCCACCATGCCCAGCTAATTTTTATATTTTTAGTAGAGATGGGATTTCACCATGTTGGGCAGTATGATCTCGATCTCTTGACCTGGTGATCCACGCATCTCAGCCTCCCAAAATGCTGAGATTACAGGCCTGAGCCACTGCGCCCGGCCATGAATAATTTCAAGTAGAGGTGTTTTTGTGGACATATGTTTTCATGTCTCTTGGTTCTATACCAAGGAATGAAATCGCTGTGTCATTTGGTAAGTCTGTATTTAATCATTCGAGGAACTGCCAAATGATTTCCAAGGTGGCTGCTCTATTTTATGTTCCTGTTAGCAATGCATGAGTGCTCCAGTTTTATCTAGACATGTTATTATCTTTCTTATCTATGTTTTCATAACCATTTTAGTGGATGTGAAATGGTAGGTCATTGTAGTTTTGATTTGCATTTCCCTAATG